CACACACACACACACACACACACACACACACACACAGAATCACACTTTCATGTACGTATGACACTGCAGCGTTTCTGTTGCACTCCATCACAGGAGCGAATGCTGAGTTATTTGAAGACACCAAATTCAATGCCTATGGGCATTTTTATTATCCTTTTTTTTCCAGTAGAGGTTTTTAGGCGCTCGCAACATGAACAGCATAAGGTCATATCAGTGCCAAGGGGTGGGTGTCAACAGAGAAGTCCTAACAGGGAATCAGACTAACTCTGCTCACCTCTCTAGCCTCAACTCAACAGCGCAAAGTCTGCTTCGACTGTCAAGGCACCCCGGAAATAGCAGTTCACAAGAGTGTGACTGTGTGACAAACATATCATTTTAAAGAAGTAGAGGCAAAATGACGACAGTAAGGATTGGGAAAGAAAAAGCAGTAATTCCCTTTTGCAGTTCAGGCACAGTTATGGAGCATGACATGAATCAGTCCACTTACAATTACAATTCTACTGTGCATAAGAACTCGAGATGTTAATGCCCCCCCCCCCCGCCCTTTGGGAATGGCCTAAAGACACTTCAGTCAGTAGCACCGCTCCGGGGGTACACATAACATATTATCCACCCACACACACACAAACGCACATGCACCCATGCGTACAAACGCACACGCAGGCCCACGCATGTACACACACACACACACGCGCGCGCACACACACACACACACACACACACACACACACTCACACACACACACATAGGGCCTACACACACATAGCACCACCATTACCACCACCTCAGCGAGAGGCGGCAAAGATTTTGTAGATCTTTAGAAGTACATGTATCATCAGCATATTATCACTCATATAAAATTATATTATTCCACATGCATATATACACACACGCTCCCCGTGTGGTTCCCGGCTCCCGGGGTCCTGTCGAAGAGACAGCTAGGGGAGCAAAGAATAGGGCCACTGTATCTGTACCGCGCATGTTGTAGAAGGCGACTAAGATTGGTTGGGCAAAGGGTTAGCAGCCCTTTCCCGTAGGAAAAAAAATAAAACAGCTACAACAACATAAACAGCAAAAACGACACGATCGCTAGTTCTGGAAGATGCACAGGACAGATTTCGCTGGAGAAATGTTGATGGCCTATATGCTCCACTGGGAGTTTAAAAAGGGCAAGACACACACACACACACACACACACACACACACACACACACACACACACACACTCACACAGACACACACTTATACACACAGACACACACACACATACACCCACACACACATATACCATGGGGGCTCTCGTTTCCTAGAGGTTAAGGTGTTCACCTCTCTTCAATAGGTCCCGGGTTCGAATCCGGATAGCGACGGAAATTTTTCTTCTCTAAAATAGTTTCATTTCACCTCATTTTCCTGCTCTCTAGCAATGTTCTGTTCTGTCGTCTGCTTTCGCCTCCACTTTCTGTCCCTACCCTCTCATCTGCTTTGCTCTCTCATCTGGGGGGGCTCCTGACTCTTTCTGCAGCCTTTCTGCTGCTGGCTCCTTCCTGCTACTGTCTTTCATCCACACCCCTGATCTCACAGTAGGAAAGACCTACACCTTGCCTTCTCGGACAAGGGCAAGAAATCTCGGAGGTCCCCTGTGCAAGTTGCGCACGTTAAAGATGCCTTAGTGGTCCAAAATCGATAAAGGTAGGCTTCGGCCGCCACAGGGGCAAAATAAAAAAAATTCTTACCAACTGTAAATGTTTACTGTGTCCCACTCGCTCAAGTGGCCTTATGTAGCTGTGAGCGCCGTAAAACACGCGATCACCCCCCCCCCCCAAAAAAAAAAAGAAGAAACAAAACAAAAACAAACAAACAACAAAACAAAACAAAACAAAACAAAACCACAACAAAAAACAAACAAAACACACTAACACCCGTGTAAACCCACATTTAAGTAAATGATGTATGGTGAGGAACATACTCAGAACAATAATTTACTAACACTCTCTGTATACCGTCAGGCGCAGTCGACCTCACGCTTGCCTGCCCCTGGCCACGTCCTCCAGCTTCTGCAAATCCAGGCCCTGGGTGATTGTCTCATTCCTTATATTGTGTCTCTAGGCACAGCTTCCAGTTGGTCTTCCTCGTTTTCTTTTTTCCGTTGGCTTCCAATGCCACGACTGAAAGGGCAATTTTGTCTTTCAGTATTCTTAGAACATGTCCTAGATATCTCCATCGTCTCCTTTTTATGGTTGTGTTGACATCTTAATTCCAGCGCTTTCCATGCCAACTCTTCATTATTTGTAATACATTAATTCCATTTTAATAGTGAAATTCTTTGTAAACATTTTGTTTGGAAGCTTTAGAAGTCCATGTATCATCAGCATATCACTCACATATATTATCACACACACACACACACACACACACACACACACACACACACACACACACACAGAAAAATGAGGCCGGAACAGCTGCTCCGGCTTTATGTATTCGACACAAGCTATAGCCGGTATCGAGTGTACTTTAGACTCGATTATCTAGGAAGTGACGACGCTTTCTCTTTTCTTGTGCATGCGCAGAAGTTATAGTGAAGATTGAAATGAGACGCCATGGATGCTTGGCTTGGCCACTCTTTGTGTAGAATATAATATTATTGCAACGAGGAGTTATCGCGCACGGATATAGCAGTTTCACTATATGGTATGTTTAGTTCTAATGCATTGATGTGTTCATGCAGAGTTCTGTTTTTGCTATACATCGGCTTGCGCTTCAAAATGTAGATTAGATTACCCCTTTCCATTTTGCCTTTGCTCAGACTGAACTCTACTGTTGTTGAGTTGTCTCGCGGCGAAGTGTTTTGGCTTGGCTTGAACTTACTCTGTTTTGTTGTCAATTTTCTTTTTATAGACATTTTACATCGTTTTAGTTGTAAAGTAATTAGAGTGTATATTTAGATCTACATGTCATGCACCACCATTCAATTCATGAGTGGCTACTGTTTGTGCTTTGCGCAAAGTATGAGTGGCAGCTTGTTACTTTGTATTGAAAAGTAGTCTAGTCTATGGAGTCCGATCTTCCCTCTACAAATGGAGTCGGAAATGAGTGTTTACAAATTTAGGCCTAGACTCTAGATCTAGATCTAGAAAAGATTACTCCATAATCCTAGCCGTGCTGATTGGATTTTCTATTGGCTGGATTGTACTTTACTGGACCACCCGTCTCGGCCCGTGATTACTGCACACGCGTAGCCTAACTACGCTACGCACTCATAGTACTCTACGTGCAGACAAAAGGTAGGCTAGTTCCGTGGGCGACTTCACGCACGCACAGTGGCGACTGGTGAGGCGAGGTGAGCGAGAGATGGTGGTTGAGGGTGGGCTGAGGAATTAACTTTGGTGGACCTCCGTGTATCATACCAACAGTGGGGAGGGGGGCTTGCCCCCGGAAACTATAATAAAGAGAACACACAAATGCGAAACAATAACATAAGCGGACAGTCGTGTTTACATTGTAACAACAGTGGGGGGAGGCGGGGTAGACCTAGGTTCTTCTAGATCTATGGCCTAGATCTAGTTTCGAGGCCAGCTTAGATCTAGATCTAGATCTAGATCTAAATGAAGATTGCGAATGTTTTTGTGATGAACAATCGTTTTTCCTTCGGCCTTCGGTTTTGGAGTTGGAGGAATCACAATTTGAAGAATGACCCGGTAACCGCGAACTAAGTCAAGAAGTATCAGACCCGGTAGGGGAAGTCTTTTGTGATTTCGGAAAGTTTCAGCGCCCAGACCCGGTAGTGTAGGTGTGTGTGTGTGTGAGAGAGAGAGAGAGAGCAGGGGGAAGTGCTATGCTAGCATAGTAGCAAAATGTATGACACACCCCAGTTGGCAGGAGGGAACGAGAGAAAGATAGAGTGGGAAATAGGTGGGGAGAAAGAAAGACAGACGAACAAAGAAAAAGAGAATGCGAGCGATACACATAAACAGAGGAGAGAGAGAGAGAGAGAAATAGAAATAAATAGAGAGGGTGACTGCTCGATTGAAATTATGACATTGTTCTTTACTTCAAATTGTGATTCCTCCAACTCATAAACGGAGGAAAAACGATCGTTTATCGGAAAGACATCCGCAATCTTCATTTAGATCTAGATGTAGATTCTAGATCTAGGCTAGCCTCGAAACTAGATCAATGTCTGTCTGTCTAGATCTAGAAGAACCTGGGTGTACCCTGAGCCAAGAGGCCGCTGAAACTTTCTGAAACCACAAAAGAGTTCCCCTACCGGGTCTGCATACTTTATGACTTTGTTCCCGGTTACCGGGTCTGTATACACTCCCTTTGAAGAAAAGAACAGTGTCATAATTTCAATCGAGCTTTATGTATGTGTAAACTGTTGGAAATGTTCTAACTTTACATCAGTCGGGGTGTCCGAACCGCCACTTTCACTCTCTGCCTCGCGGTCAGGCCTTAGATCTAGATTCTAGATTTTCTATGTCTGATCAATCTGAATCGCCCCAAACTCTTGCTACAACATTTTCATCAAAATCTGAGTCATCTGATTTGTCATATGCTTGTTTTTGCTCAAATCCATCGTTATTTCCTTTTTCGAACTCAATTGTGTTGCTTTTCAACAAGTTGAAAGTGTCAGTAACGCGATTGCACTTCTATCGGCTCTAATACTAAAACTACTGGCCCGAAAAATTTCGTTTCAGTATCAAACGAAAGAAGAAACTTTTTGCAATAACTATGCAAATAAAAATCTCGGCCCCAGAGTCTCATCAAGGCGAGACGTCGTTTCTAAAGACGCTAGGTCAGCGCGGGCGGTTCCGGGCGAGTCAGGGTGGAGCGCGTAAGGGAATTCCAGGGCAGTCCCTGGCGAGTTAGGGTGTAATGTGTTAACATCACCTGAAAGTCATTAGCCTACTATATTTACACTCTACTGGAATGGAGCAATAAATCTTGAGAGAAAAGTGACACGCCTGTTTCGAAGTTGCCAAATTTATAGATCTAGATCTAATAGAAAATGTATAGATTGATTCTATAAATTCCGCTTTTGTGGTTGTACACTGCAGAATTTCAAAGGTGTGTAAACAGTGCGCACAGCTAGTGAACGGAAACCTCACTTGTTTACAAAATGTCATCTTAGAAGATGGATTTTCACAAGATTCTGTGTGGACGGAACAAAGCATTTTGGAAACGAAGTGGATAGCCGTACTTAAGTACGGCTAGACTGAGAGTCTAGCTGTACTTAAGTACGGCTAGACTGCCAGTCTAGCCGTACTTAGATCTAGGTTTGGCCCAATCGACTCAATCCTGTTAAGTACACAGGTCTCATGAGATCTAGATCTAGTTATTATTCAGGTTCAAATACGTGCAAGTCAGTAAGGCACCTTTTGGTTTTGTCTGAAATACAAATACTTTAGGCATTGCAAACTAAAATTTTCATTTACAATTCAGCCATCAATATTAAGTACGGCTAGACTGCCAGTCTGGCCGTACTTATCTTAGGCCCTATTTACATTAGTCATTAGAAAACAGGAGGTTTAAAATACATGCACTGTCATTAAGGAACCTGGTTTTGTCTCAAATACAAATACTTTAGGTACTGCACACTAAAAATGTATATTTACAATTCAGCAGGCCTATTTTTTGTAAATGGTCAGTCTAGCCACCATATTAAGAATAAGTACGGCTAGCCTCTTCCTTTTGGAAAAACCAGGGAAAGCAGTTTGCATGGATTTTTTAAAGGCCGGCACTATTTCTCCCAACGTTCGGGAAAATAAAGCTGGGCACTATTTCTCCGAACACTCTGAAATCACATCCTTTCCCGCAAATTTAGGATATTATAAAGACCTATAATTATAGTATAGGCCTACCAAAGATTGTTCGTATACAATATGGTTCAATCGGTCCAAAAAAAGTCCGCAGTAAATATTTATATAAAGAAATGCTACAGTTCCAAACAGTTTTTCTCTAGAGATAGATATTATGACGTGTTGCCTATGAAGGGTGCTGCTCTTAAACTTAATGTGTTGTGTTCACTCGTGTGCTATCTAGATCTAGATCTACGGAGGGTTAATGATAACGACACATAGAACTAGCATCTGCGTTTGTCGCAACTGCGACCAATCAATCGTGGCTCGATTTTTTGGCATTTTTTGGTCCCCAAATTGGGGAATAAAAGTCAAATAAAAATAAAAAAAGAAACCAGACCTCTTAAGCCTCTTTACTTTTGAAAGAAAGTTCACTTAGCTTCACTTTGTCTCTTTCTCACTTGTTGTCACCACGTTGATTTGTTGAATACGTTACAGTTACTTTTATTTTTCCCTCTTTGTGGTGTTTTATTAATTTGTTAGTGTGTATTTTTTTCTTTCTTGTTATTGTTCTGTGTTGTTTTTCTATCAATTTTTTTGTTGGGGAAAAAAGGGGGGTGATGTTGTATAGTGTAACGTCATTTAATTTGATGTTCCTATCTTCATTAGATTCTAAATATATATACATGTATATTATATATAAATTTAAATGTGTTATGTTAGAGCGTACGTTCCACCAAAACCGATTACATGTACTGACACTGGCAGGCCCCTTAATGTGTGTGATTCCATAATTTACATGTAATATCCTGTACTTTGTTTTAAAATTACGCACATTTAGGGTTAAAACAGCCAATCTTCTTCGGACAGGTGGACTCACGCCCTTATTTGTTAATTTTTGTGGTTGTTTATGGGCTGTTCTAATTTTGATTTCATTCGGTTGTGAAACCTTTCTTTTTCACGTTTTTACACTCATCTAAAAATCTCTAGACTAGCTCTTGAAAATTGAAAGAGATATGACCTAAAAATTTGGTCCTGTGTGTGTGTGTGTGTGTGTATGCATGTGTGTGTGTGAGTGTGTCTGTGTGGTAGTAAGTGTGTAAGTGGAGAGTGAGGAGCGTGTGTGTGTTTGTTTTTCGGGCTTTATTTCAGCCTTTTATTCAGTAACAGTTTAAAGTATACAAAAATAGAAACACAGGATCCATTCACTCCAGGGCTCATGAGTCGTTCCTCTCTTTCAGTTTCACTCATTCATTCAATTCCCGTGTTCTCTCCCGCGGCTCATCCCCGTCCATATGACTTTTACACCCCATCCCCTCCCTCCAGGCACACACAAAGAAAATCTCACTCATTCCCTTGCACCCTGCGAACCATGGACAATAATATTAGCAAAACACTGCCTTAGCCACATTCCTTTCGTTCGTGAGCTGTGGACCAGGCCAGGGGGGTCGGTGTCGTCGCCTTGTAGTTGCTGTCGCCTGTGGATACACTCGTACATTCTTCCTTTCACCTGCTCTGTCACTCACACTGTCTGTCCATCCACAGCTCAGCTCGTCATACGTTCAAAAGTTGCTCACTGATCATGTTTAGTTAGTGTTTGTATAAGTTTGTGTGTGTACATGTGCATGATGGTGGTGGGTGGGTGTTACAGAAGTTTGTCTGTAGGCGGGCTTGCCATGCGGTGTTCCTTCCCAGTCCCAGACCAGAGGCCAGACTCCGGCCGCCAGAGGCAGAATTAAAGTTGGCGCTGAACTCTCGCAATAAGTAGGCCAAAAATCACGAGACCGGAAGCCGGAAACCGTTCGGAGAAATAAAGATCGGCACTATTTCTCCGAACGTTTGGAGAAATAGTCACTTCGTTTTTTAAAAGTTAGGTCCTAGCCACATGGATGC